GAGGCAGGTCCAGGGCAGGGAAAACCCATGGAGCTTTTACTCGACCCCGGTCAGGCCCTTTGAGACTCTGATGACACTGCTCTCCTCCCTCCAAGCCCCGGTGCACTAGCTCCCCCCGGGGCCCATCACCGGCCCTCCAACTGGGACGTCTCACTTCGAGGGTACTTGGCCCCTTCTAGGTGATTCTGGAAGGCAACGCCAGGCTTGGGGGATGGAAGTCACAGACACAGACCCCAGCCCACCGTGTAGCCAAACGTTCTAGCTATCTGAGCAGAGAAGCTGGGCTCCGTGGGGCACAGCCACTGGGGGACAGAAGGCTGGGCCTTGGCAGGCCTGAAAGGAAGAAAGGGCGGGAGCCAGTACATCCACTGCTCACGCTGCCTCTGCCTTTGGCCTGTGGTCACATCAGCACCAGCCTCTCCCAACGGGAGCCCTGCATTGGAAGGTCTGACCCCCGTTAGCACCTGGAGTCAAGGTCTGTCCACTGCAGCCCACTACTCCCACCAATGGGGAGAGTGGGGGAGTGGTTCTCCAAAGCCACCATTATGCTTAGTTCCGGAATGTTCTGTCGTACTTAGATTTAGACACGGGTGTGTCTGTTATTCTGAGAATTCACTTCAAATTAAAGAAAGAAGCTCTGGCTCTCTGGGTCTGGGAGACATCCAGTTTCTCCCAGCCTGACCCTGTCCCACCCACCCTGTGCTGGCCATCAACTCAGGGCAGTGAAGTCACCGATAAAGCCAGGGTGGCCTGGCCCCTCTCAAATGGGGTTGGGGTCTCTTAGATTGGAGGAAAAGACCAAGCTGATGGCCCCCAAAATCAAACCAAACCCACTGCCGTCGAATCAATTCCAACTCATAACGACCCTACAGGACAGAGTAGAACTGTCCCATAGGGCTTCCAAGGGCAGCTAGTGGATTCGAACTGCTTGACCTTTCGGTTAGTAACCAAGTTCTTAACCACTGCACCGCCAGGGCTCCAACCAGATGGTCCCCAGGCACCCCAAATTAACTACTGAAATGGAATTTTGGGGTGACATGAACAGGTAGGATGCACTGTGGTGAAAGGCACCCCACGGCCAGTCTAAGTGGCCACCTCCCACTGGGCGGCATGGACGGGGCCCTCCCCTCTCTGATCCAGTTTCTGTATCACGTGATGGGGCAGACACAGCACCTGCCGAAGTGGGGTCCTGCGAGCCCACAGGGTCCCAGAGAAGCTAGGAGGGGCTGGAGGCCCAGGGGAGCCGCACACTCGGCAGGCTCCCCCAGGACACCTTGGTTCCAAGAGAGACGGCAAATGGAACAGGGCCTCTCTGCCTCATGTTCTCAGGAACCTGGGTGACATTTCACAGGCCGACTGCAGCTCCAGCAAGCCTCCTAGATGCCAGAGTGCAACTCATGGAGTTCATGCCTCCCAGACGCCCTCACAGCCCCTTCGGCCTGCACTGGGCCCCCACCCCCGGCCCCAGCTCCAAGCCTGCTCAGAGATGACCCGCCCACATCCGCTGTGCTGGGGGACGGCGTGTCGGCAGAGCGGGCGCACCGGGGTGGAGGGATGACCACAGACAGAAAGGACATGGGTGCCCGTGGTACCTGACCACTCCTCACCACCCTGACCCCTTCTCACCCCAAGAAACACAAGTCTTCCGTGAACTGACGGTTGTGGGGAACACTACAAAAGAGTCGATGCCCAAGCTGCCATGACCCATTACCATACACACCATGGCTTAAAACAACCCCGTCTATCCTCTCACAGCTCTGGAGGCCAGAAGTTCAAAATTGCCATGTTCAGCAGGGCTGTGCTCCTTCCGGAAGCTCTAGGGGAAGGTCCTTCTTTATCTCTTCCAGCTTCTGGTGACCCCAGTGTTCCTTGGTGTCATGGATTGAATTGTGTCCCCCCAAAATATGTGTCAGCTTAGTTAGGCCATGATTCCCAGTATCGTGTGGTTGTCCTCCATTTCGTGATTATAATTTTATGTTAAAGAGGATCAGGGTGAGATTGTAATAACCTTACTAAGGTCACATCCCTGATCCAATGTAAAGGGAGTTTCCCTGCGGTGTGGCCTGCGCCACCTTTTATCTCTCAAGCATTGAAAAGGAAAGGGAAGCGAGCAGAGAGGGGGACCTCATACCATCAAGAAAGCAGAGCCAGGAGCAGAGTGCATGGTTTGGACCCAGGGTCCCTGTAGGGAGAAGCTCTTAGTCTGGGGGAAGACTGATGAGAAGGACCTTCCTCCAGAGCCGACAGAGACAGAAAGCCTTCCGCAGGAGCTGACACCCTGAATTTGGACTTTCAGCCTACTTTACTGTGAAAAAATAAATTTCTCTTTCTTAAAGCCAACCACTTGTGGTATTGCTGTTATAGCAGCACTAAGTGACTAAGACACTGGACTTGCGGCCACATCACTCCAATCTCTGCTCCGTCTTCACATGTCTCCTCTGTGTCTCCCCGCTTCTGTCTCTTATAAGGATACTGGTCATTGGACTTAGGGACCACCCGAGTAATCCAGGATGACCTCATCTCGAGAGCCTTAACTAACGACATCTGAAGAGACCCTTATTCCAAACAGGGTCACATTCACAGGTTCAGGGGTTGAGAACATGGGTGTATCTTTTTGGAGGGCATCACTCAGCTCTACTACGCCGGCTAACAGCCAGTGGGGCTCACTTAGTGAGCTCACTTAGCACACCTTGGGCTCACACCTACCTTGCAAGGTGAGGGAACACCCCCAACCTACAGAAGAAGAGACAGAGGATCTGAGAGCATCCCTGCCTAACGTCACGCAGTGAGCAAGTGGATGACAGAGGCATCCTTCAAAGACTGCCCTGACCGCCAGGGCTGAGGGTGCCTTGGCCTCACCTTTTGGCTTTAACCACAGACAGCCTCATCCTTCAGCATCTCCCCCTTCCCAGCCATTCAGAGCTGTAACAGCCCCAAACCAGGACACCCCTCAATCCAGAGGGCGAGCTCTGGCCATGCACAGGGACCCATGTCCCCCTACACCAAGCCGATGACTTGCCATGGACCCCCGCTTCCAAGCCCCCTGCCAGCACCAGGGTGGGACTCGTGGATGAAGTCTCCATTCATCAGCCTCTGAGAAGCATAATTGAGGCTTTTATGGAAAACCAGCTCATTACGCAAAGTGCAGGGGTTGTGAAAACGATCGTTTTTTAAAGGAGCGTGCGGCTTCTATCCACCAGCAGAGGGGCGAGGCAGAGACTCCTCGGGGCGGCAGGCTTGGTTTGTGGGTTTTCAAAAAGGAGAGGATTTGCAAAAACTTGCTGCTAATTAATAATGCTATGAGCCGCTGGGCAACAAAGAGCTTAGTCCTGGTGGCGGCTCCCAGGATGTTTCTCGAAAAAAACACATATTGTCTTTGTACCCAGAAACAATGCATTTTTTTTTCTTAATTAAACATTTTTAGAAGGTCCCTGTCACAGACCTTACAATAAATCCAAACCAAACCCACTGCCATCAAGTCAAATAGCTACCTTAAAAAAACAGCCCACATAGCTGGGGGGCCTCAAAGGTATTTGGAATGTTCTAGATTGAAAGCTAGGTGGTGGGTACAGGGGGATTGTTTTGTTGTTATACCCCAGATATTGTATTTTTCTATAAGTTTAATACTTAATTTATAAAAAAAATTTAATAGCCTATTCCACACGTAAGATTAAAAACAAAACAAAACCAAAAAAATCTTAGTTCAAAGGCTTTTCTGAATCCTCTAAGAACCCAACAGCAGACGAGGTCCTGGGGGGTTCACCAACATTTGCTTCTGCCTGGTGACTCTGTGAACCAGGTGTTGGGGAGGTGAATGGTGGCCCCCCAAAAGACAGATTCACATCCTAATCTCTGGAACCTGTAAATGTGGCCATACTTGGAAAGAGGATCTTTGCAGGTGTGGTTAAGTGAAGGCTCTCGAGATGCGATCATTCTGGATTATCCAGGTGGGTCCCCAAATCCAATGACAATGTCCTCGGAAGAGAAGAGAAGAGGAGAAGACAGAACACAAGACACCATGTGAAGAAGAAGCAGAGGCTGGAGTGATTAGGCCACAAGCCAAGGGATGCGTGGGGCCACCAGAGGCTGGAAGAAGCAAGGAAGGAAGCCCACACCTGATTTCAGACTTCTGGCCTCCAGAGCTGAGAGAGAATGCATTTCTGTTGTTTAAGTCACTCAATGTGTAGTACTTTGTTACAGAGGCCCAGTGCGCCTGCTACTACTGTCGGGGGCCCCGGTACGAGCAGTGCCCCAAGGATAGCACCCCACAGACAGCATCAGGGTGAGGACCCTCCAAGTTCAGACCCCGCCCATGACTGTGCCAGGTGTGACCCCCGTCTACTCTGCCACCCAAGCCTCTCCTGCCCGTGTCTTCCTGAAGCATCCCTGCTCCTGTCCTTGTTCGCCTGCCCGATCTGGAATTAGGTCCCCATTTAGGTCTCTGCTCTGAGTCAGCATCCACAATGATGGTCTCCTACCAGGTGCCCCACCACCACCTGTGCCCTCCACAAGGCAGACGGGCCCAGCTGTCGGAGCACAGGAGTCTCAGACTAAATTCTGCCATCCACGCAGAATTAACAACGCCAGAGGGGAACCTCTGTGGGCTCCTCCCAGACGCCCACCTGGGCCCTGCGGCCCATCCTGGGCGGCTCTAGGCTCCAGCCCCCCGACTGCACACAAGCCCAGCTCCCTTGGCCCCCAAAGCTGTCGTGTGGAGAGCGCGTTTAGGTAGGCAATGGTCTGTGGAAGGATTAATTTGCTGATCTTATTACCTAAATCGAAAGAGATTTTGCAGCCATCAGTAACATGCTTGCGGATTTCCCTGGTGTGAGCTGAGGGCTCATCCTCCTCCCTGCCCAGCAGCCACTGCCAACCAGCAACTCGGCAGCATGGGGAAAACGCGCAAACCAGCCACAGGCAGGGAGATTTGCTTAAAACCCCAGTGTCTGACCAGTGGCCGTGGGACTGGGCCCCACGCAGCGGCGCGCACGGACGCTCACCTGATGCCTTTGTTCTGTGCGATGCTGTGCAGGGAGAGCCTGGACACGGCCGAGATGACCTGGGGAGACAAAGGGGACCAGGAGTCATCACAACACGGAAATACAGCGCTTGGTGGGGTGGGGAGCTGTGAACTAAGCACGCTTCATCTCGCGGAAAAACAGCACAACAGGTTACAGGCTAGAAGCCTATTTTGTACTGACTGTGCAAAACCTGTCATTTCGATGCACCGATGTTTGCTGAGCGCTGCCGCGCTGCCAGTGCGGTGCAGGGACTCAGCGCGAACCCCCACCCTGCTGCCTCCCGCACAGGGGTAACCACGCCCTGAGTCTCTCGCTCTGAGGCAGGGCGCACGCTCAGACCCGAGGCACGTTGCTGGGACCCCCGCTGAGACCACGCAACCACGCTGCTGGGGGGCCCCATGGAGACCACGCGACCACGCTGCTGGGGGGCCCCACGGAGACCATGCGACCACGCTGCTGGGGGCCCCGCTGAGACCACGCGACCACGCTGCTGGGCGGCCCCAAGGAGACCATACGACCACACTGCTGGGGGCCCCGCTGAGACCATGCTGCTGGGGGCCCCGCTGAGACCACACTGCTGGGGGCCCCGCTGAGACCACACTGCTGGGGGCCCCGCTGAGACCACGCGACAAAGTGGGGGCCCCGCTGAGACCACGCGACAAAGTGGGGGCCCCGTGCTGCTGTTTAGAAGGTCACTGCATGATAAATAGCAAGTCACGTTCACAGGAGGCAGTGATCTATTTCAGATGGGGAAATGGAGGTGGGAGAGGTAAAGTGGCTTGTCCAGAGTCACACAGGAGCAGAGGGCACAGCGCAGACCCACACACTGAGCCCCCGTCTCTGTGTGGCCATGTGAACAATGCCCCCTCCCCTCCCTTGAGGGGCCAGGAAACAGACGGAAAGCAGAGCATGAGTTCAGTGCTGCACCACGAGGGCTCAGGGAGTCCCCCGGACTGACGATGTGTCAGAACGACAGTAGGGAACGCCCAGTGGATAAGCAGCTGCTGCTCTCTTCCCGCCTTTGCTCCAGCCAGCCCCCTCCGTACACACAGGACTCACCTGCCCTCAGGCTTCAAAAGGCCCCAGAGCCGTGGCTCTATGTACCTTCAAACGGCAGGCAGCAGGCAGGGAGGACCAGAGGCTCCAGAGATGATTACGGGGAAACTGAGGCAGGGGAGAGGGAGGGGGCTGACCCAGGCACAGAGAGCACAACACATCCAAGACATAACAAGCAACTGTTCACAACTCATTCAACAGGGCTTGGAGGCGCCTACTGTGCCAGATGCCATGTGTGAGTGAGCCGACCAGAGCCATGCCTTTGAGATGTCAGTGTGTGTGTGCAAGCGTGTGTATGTGTGTGCATGCAAGTTCACATGTGTGTATGCATGTGAGTTCACGTGTGTGCAGGTGTACGTGTGCATGAGTTCACACATGCATGTGTGCCCATGTGTGTGCATTCACATGTGTGCATTGTGTGTATGTTCGAGTTTGTGTGTGCACGTGTGTATGTGAGGTCACGTGTGCATGTGTGTGCATGGGAGTTCCTGTGTGCACGTATGTCGATTCACATGTGTATACACGTGTGCATGTGAGTTTGTATACATGTGTGTGCAAGAGCTTATGTGTGTACGTGTGTACCTGTGCATGCCTTTGTGTGTGTGCACTTGGTGTGCATGCGTACATGTGTGCGTGCAATTTCACATGTGCACACATTTGTGCATGTGTGTGCATGCATGTTCATACGTGTGCGTGCATGTGCCTTTGTGTATTGGGACAGGTAACAAGGCAATGACCCACAGCAACCACTGGCTGAATACATGGTGGGTGCTGCCCTCCTAGGAGCCGGGCCCAACGGGCTGTCCACACTCTTGGTCAGGGCGCCTCCTCACAGCCCCACAAGGCCAGTTCCACTGTGTGCATTTGGCAGAAGGGCAGGGTAAGGCCGGGGCAGCTGCCCAAGGCCATCCTCTGTGACGCGTCCCTGAGACCCCCCCCCCCCTTTACGGCTGTTTTACCTCTCCAGAAACTTTTTTAAAGGGCGGGGAAAAAACCCAAACCGTACAGAAGGGCCCTTTCTATCGCTGGTGAGACGGAAGAGCTGGCTGACAAGCGGCCTGCTGTGCACCGTCTTCCTGTGGGCGCTCAGGTTTCAGGGGCCGGGACTCACAGAAGTCATGAATCGCAGGACAACAGGGCTCTTCTGTGGTTTGCAGGCGAGACTAAATTGGCTCATTCTGCAGCCGGCCAGCCGTGGCCCCACCACTTGTGCGCTCCAAGGGGCCTTTCACAAAGAACGAGCAACTTGGCTGTGGCCGTTGTGCTCAGCTTTACGAGCTCTAAACATTCAGGGAGAACAAAACTTAGTGCAATATTGCTGGGTGTCCTTCCAGCGCTTTCACAGGTTCTACAGAAGTTAGAACTCGGCAAGCCCCTGGGTCGTCCAGTCCAAAGATGCAACTCTGCGGCACGAACCAAAGCCCTCATGCTTTCTGCAGCAGACAGCGCTCACCAGCTGGCACACGCCTCCCCAGTAAGCCAGACATGGGGTGGGACCCCTCTCAGCTGAGTGCTCATAGGCAGCAACAGTCGGCTGGCACTGGCACAGGGGCCGGACGGTGTGCCGACCCAGATTTAGGGCAAATGCCTCGTTTCATAGAGGTACGAACCAAGAAAAGGGCCCTGCCGGGATGCAGCACCATTTCTACAGGTGCTATGACCCATAGCCCTGAGCTGGCAGCTGCCCTGCTCCAGGACGGGAACTGTCACTGGTGATCTGTGACTTGCTCAGCACCAGTTCACCTCCTCAGACAGGCAGTTCCTTGAACAGGGTTAAATTTGACCCACACAGGAAACCAGCACGGAGCTCCAGCTGGCTGCGCAGAGGTGTCCTGTCCTGCAGCTGCCGGGGGGCTGCATCCTGGCTGTGTGGGCAGAAGAGGAAAGCGCGGGACCACTGCAGGGCTCCGTCACCCACGGGGGACCCCCGATGGGTGACTCAGGCCCAGGGCAGTATGCTGGGAGCAGACATGGGCCTCAAGACAGCGGTGGGACCCACTCAGGCAGCCCCTCGGGAAACCATCCTTCTGAAAAGTTAAGGAAGCAGAAGAGGGTCTCAATGCAGGAGTAGAGGGCCACAGTGGCCCCCCAAGCTGGTTCCCCAAGGCAGCCCCTCAAGCCAGACCCCTGAAAGTGGCCCCCAGTGCAGACCCCGACAAGACCAAGGTGGCCCCCCAAGGCGCCCTGATGCAGCCCATCCCACCCCAGGGACAGAGGAGCTGGCGGTGATCAACAAGCTCCTAGCCAAGGCTCCCGCCAGCTCTTCTGAGAATGTAAATGTTGAAGGATGACATTTTCCCAACTTTTACGTCCACTGTCTTCTGCGTCCCAGTTCGCAAATGCAATGAAGACACACCCCCTACTCTTCCCGCCTGGCCGTCTGGCCACCATCCACAACCAGCCCAGTCTTTGGGCTCAGTCCTTCACCAACCACATGTGGAGGGCCAGAGTCGCAGCCCTGAGTGAGCAGACGGAAGAGTGTCCTGGGGAGAGAGCGGGGGTGGGTACGTGAGGAGAAGACCCCCAGGACCCGGTCCTGCTGGAGAACCAGCACCCCCCTAGCTCTACCAGCTCCACGTAGACCACAACCCTGGCTTTCACTGCTGCGCATCCAGCACCACGCACACTACGGCTCAGTAAACACCCGGGACAGCCGAGGTGCGCATGCGCCACCATGGAGGGGGAGGTCCTGGCCCCCACCCAGCTGACCAGCTCTGAGCTCCACAGCTCTCTACCAGGTCTACCAGACGGGGCTGGGCTGATCCCCAAACACCAGGGGCCAAGCAGCAGATCTCTGGGCCCAGCGGCAACGGCTGATGGTGGAAGCAAGTGGACCCAGCAGTCTGTACTCATCTGTAAGGTCTGGAGTGGCTCAATGCGCAGCCGGAGTTGGGCATCCGCCCTGGGGACTAGTACTGACAGGTTCCCGGGGACTCGAGGAAGGCCAGGTGTGTCCTGGCTGTCCATCTTTGGACCCTGCAGGCACATGGGGCAGATCAGCACCTGTCCAACTGGCCAGAGCCAGCAAGTCCATCAGGAAGGCCTCGGGGAAACAGGCCAGATCTAGAGCGGGCAGGAAGAACGGGGTCGAGTGCAGACTTCGAGAATGGGACTTCCCCGGGCCCGTCACTGGGCCCCAAGCAGGGCAAGCCCCCCCGCGCTGGCTCCAGCTGCAGATGCACAGCCCTCCAGGGCAGGGGGAGCTGCAGGCAGCAAGGAGCGGGTGGCGGCGGGACACCTCCCAGGGGCCAGATGCCCTGGAGTGGCCGCCAGCAATCTTCCGAGTAGGGACGGGTCCCCACGTGATGGAGCCATCGCATTCTCTTGGGCATAACGGAGGAGGCAGCTGTTCTGATTTGCTCCCTGTCACCTCCCTGTCTGCCTGATCACACCTGACAGACAGGTGCAGGCTCCTGTCGGGAGGCTTTGCTGCTCAGCCTCAGCCTGCCGCGCGAGAAGCAGCTGGTGACGCTGCCCACCGGCACATCCTTGCCACGTGCACCGCAGGGTAACTCAGGCCCTCAGGGCTCAGCCTGAACTCCCCTCAGCCGCCACGTCCAGTTCACGACCAGGGCCATGGGAGCCCGGACACTGGCTGACATCTGCCCGGAGGTGCCCTGAGAATATTCTGGAAAGGCAGACCACGTCCCCAGCACCTTCTCAAAGGGCCCAGGACTCCCGAAAATGATTAAGCTGCTATCCCTCGGGTATCACGTTTATCAGCAGGTGGGGGGCTGCTCCAGGAGGTGGCTTCTCACCAACTCTCACAGGCCGTAGGTAGGATGTGGTCCCCCACATTGTGATTCTATGGGCACTTAGTCAACATGTACCAAACAGCTTCAAAATGTATAACCAAACCAGTTCCCATCAAGTCGATTCCGACCCATGGCGACCCTGTGTGTATCAGAATAGAACGGTGCTCCACAGGGTTTTCAATGGCTGATTTTTCAGAAGTAGATTGCCAGGCCTTTCTTCCAAGGTG